AGGCATAGTGGCGTAAATTCGGCAAGATAGAAGCCATTCGTCCCGACATGAACTTTGGAGTTAAGTTTGTTCGGCCGTCCCGTTCTCATATTCCACAGCCAAGTGCTAGTTTGGAATATGATGAATGCAGCAGCCAGTCCCAAGCATGAAGCTTGACAGGCTTGACACCAGAAACATTCCGGAACGGGTCAAGGCAGGGATATCGGAATCTGAGAGGTCACCTGAATGTTGACAAGCCAAGGAGCATCAGCCATGGAGCTATCATCGGCGATTTCTGGGACCGAAAATGCTCGGTTTGGGGAGTGCAATGCGGTGTTGTGTCTGTCTCTATCTCCTGGTCCTGTCCTTTTCGGTCCCGTCCAGTATCGTCCAGTCCTGTCCTGTCCTGTCCTGTAAATCCCCGGTCCTGCCATGTCCGGTCCGGTCCTGTCCTGTCTGCTTGTGTTTGTATGTGCGTGTGCGTCTGCTTGTCTGCGTGCGCGTGTGTCTGTGTGTGTGTGCGTGCGCGTGCGTGTGTCTGTGTGTGGGCGTCCGTGCTGTGTGTGAGCAAAGCGATCTGAGCTGCACCAGCGTGGACCTAGCTAGAGTTTTGCATGTGAAGCCTTGCACTCTTCGGACTTGCAGCTTGGGCTTGAGACCTTATTAAGTCACGACGGGGTGACCCAACTCTGAGGGGCCTGTAACAGCATACATGATTACAGAGAGCTATGCTGAGGAACAGTCATGTGCAAGAATGTGAAACCACTGCAACCCGCATAAACTAGAGTTACCCTGGAGCCGGCATGACCTGATTGCTTTGTGTTTAGTGCATTTGGTCGTCACTCAGTGGATGTTCGAGCAGCCACGGCATTACTGCTGGAGACTCCTTTACCAAAGCCTTGCTTTGGCCCGGATTTACCGTAATATCATCCCGCCTCTGTTCGTCTGTCACCGGCTACAGCAGCCCATGAAATTCAGAACAACTAAGTAGAGATTTCTCGATGTCTTAGTAGCGCTGCGCCAGGTTTGCTCCTGCATAAAACCCTGCGCAGGTATTCATCTACGATCTGAATCGAGTCTGCTGTATATGTTCTCGTCTTGTGGACCGGAGATTGCTTGGCCTTGACAAGCACCAAAAAAATTAGAAGAAAGCAAACAGCATCAGCAAGGACCAGAGCAAGAAAGTGTAATTAGTACTTTGAGCAGAGCTGTACAGCACAGACAGCAACATGATTTCCCGCACTTCAGAATGCGTCCTTTTTCCAGGATCGCCAGCAGCTAGCTGCGACGTGCAAGAGATTCCTGAGTCCGCATCTTTGTCCTTATGAGCCGGACATCCCCTATCGACACATTGAACCCTAACTGGATTTAAGTTGGAAACCTGGAGCAGCGACCCCTTACAGCTGTCGGCGGCATGGTGCCGGCTGCAGCATTAGGTTGCTCAGCCAGGTATGGATGCGTAGGTGCCAAGATGCACATACACGAACTAAGATGCTCCAACATGCGTGCATATGTACAATCACGTGTACGTGTTCACACACGTACCTGCCCACATTCTTCCGTACATATGCATGTATACTTACAATCGTTCATACAGACAAAAAGGCAGACGGAGACCGGCAGACAGACGGACAGACCAGCAAGCGTCCTAATACATGTATACGCATATGCACCTGCATGTGTGTGTATATAGATATATACCTACATATATATATATATATATATGTTCAGACGCCCAAAAGTGTGCATGTTTACAGTCGTTTGCATGGATACATGCATGCATGGATGCATAGATGCATGGATGCATGGATGCATGGATGCATGGATGCATGGATGGACGGACGGATGGACGGATGGACGGATGGACGGATGGATGTGTATGTGTATGTAGACTGCTGTATGCTTGAATAGCTATGTGTGTCACTATTGACATGCAGATGTATATGCAGATGTTTATGTACATGCATGTGTACATGCTCTCATACATGTGCTGCACATGCGCTTGTGGGCTCATGTTTGCGGTCCACTAGCTAAGACACCTATAAACCTTCGGAAGCAGTGATGATACGCCGGCTGTTGAGATAAGCATTTTCATGCATGCGTGTGAGTAGTTGATGCCACACTGATGCCTCGTGAGTGTTATCATGCTGGGCATTCGCCAAGGCATCTGTCGGTGAACTGATGACGACTGATGCCTATCTGATGCTCATACTCGCCCCATAACTTCACCTTCTGCGACCTACACCACACTCATAAAGGTACCTATCATATCAGCAAAAGTTCTGAAAGGAAGAGATTCAGGTGTAAGGACTGCCCGGTTGGGCTTACTGCTTGCATTTGAAGGCACTCGGCATGCCGGGGCTGATGAATGCATTGACCTAAGGACGCACGAGGCATTCCTGGTGGGTGCCCGCTTGGCAGTCGAGGCGCGTCACTGTTTTCCAGAGTGCAGGCATCATGCTGACATTGAACTTCAGGATGCGCGACTGGTGAGGATCACGTTGTTAGCAGATTCACAATTTTGTTTTCTGTTTCGGAGACAACCTGACAATCATTAAAGTGCCTTTTCCGCAATCTGGGAGTGGGGGGACATGTGGGAGGCTAAGGGCGGAAGGGTGGGCCGAGCGACACCATGCAAGAGCCGCGAATCAACAATTCCGCTCTCTGTCCTCGAGCAACTTCGAAGAGTGAGTCTTGTTTTGTTCCAAACAGTGTGGTAAAACTATGTACTTTGGGTTTCTCATCTTCGACGGGCAGAGGATTTGGTTTCTGAGGCAACGAAGAATCCGTTTCTTTCTACAGACCAGCTGCTCTGGGAGGCTGCAGCCCTCGCAGACAGAGATCCGACCCTGGCGGCGGGCACGCTTAGTGCAAGTTGCATGGCTGTATACAGTCATACTGCTGTCAACTGTTGTGTTCTGTTCCGTTGCCACTATATTACTACTACTATTAATGCTACTGGCTGCTACTACTACCATTGTCGCTACCACTACCACTACCACTACAACTACAACAACTACTTCTTCCGCTACTACTAGGAGGAGCAGCAGGAGCAGCAGCAGCAGCAGGAGGAGGAGCAACAGGAGGAGTGGGAGGAGTAGGAGGAGCAGGAGTAGGAGTAGTAGTAGTAGCAGTAGCAGTAGCAGTAGCAGCAGCAGTAGCAGTAGCAGTAGCAGTAGGAATAGGAGTAGGAGTAGTAGTAGTAGTAGTAGTAGAAGTAGTGGTAGTAGTAGTAGTAGTAGTAGTAGTAGTAGTAGTAGTAGTGGCAGTAGTAGTGGCAGTAGTTAGTTGCAGTAGTAGTAGCAGTAGTAGTAGTAGTAGTAGTAGTAGTAGTAGTAATAGCAGTAGCAGTAGCAGTAGCAGTAGCAGTAGCAGTAGCAGTAGCAGTAGCAGTAGCAGTAGCAGTAGCAGTAGCAGTAGCAGTAGCAGTAGCAGTAGCAGTAGCAGTAGCAGTAGCAGTAGCAGTAGCAGTAGTAGCAGTAGCAGTAGCAGTAGTAGTAGCAGTAGTAGTAGCAGTAGTAGTAGTAGTAGTAGTAGTAGTAGTAGTAGTAGTAGTAGTAGTAGTAGTAGTAGTAGTAGTAGTAGTAGTAGTAGTAGTAGTAGTAGTAGTAGTAGTAGTAGTAGTAGTAGTAGTAGTAGTAGTAGTAGTAGTGGTAGTGGTAGTGGTAGTGGTAGTGGTAGTGGTAGTAATAGTAGTAGTCGTAGTAGTAGTAGTCGTAGGATACAGGCTTCATGTCGATTTGGGGCAAGCCGGCGGCTGCAAACCACCATCGGCTTTTCTGAGACAGTTTAGGCTTCGTAGGGGTGGATAGGTACGTTTGACAAAGTTTCGCCGTTTTCCAGCACTGCGAAGAGGTTCCTCTGCATCGTCTTAGGTCAATGTCGAAACATAATTTGGGAAGATAAAGCGGCTTCCGCGCTACATGTGGACCCTGGTTTGGAGATGTTTGGAGGAGCCCTCTCATTCAACATCCATCATGTCGTAAATACATGCTGAAGCCTGAATTTTTTTACACTCCAAAATCACTGCGGCTTGAAACCCCAAGACCCCAACCTGCCTCCGCCAAGAACAAGTGGTGCGCTTCGTGGATTTCGACCTGGAGGGCTACCTTCTGGAGCCAGGCATCTCGAATCGCGAGGCGAACCAAGAATGGGGCAGGGTGGGTAGGCGCCAAGTTGCCGGACCCCATTCAGACCTCGGCATTCAATGGGCGTGGAGAGTGAGATAGGGATTTAGAGTACGGTCCAGGTGCTGCGCATCAACAAACCAAGATTCCTTGGTCGGCGCGTCATGTGTGTATCTGTATATATATATATATACATACATACAGATTAACTAGACATGCACATACATGCATGCATACATATATATATATAGATAGATAGATATGTGTACATATGTACAGATACGTCTGTGTGTATGTATGTATGGATGGATGGCTGTACGTTTGTAGGTCGGTAGGTAGGGAGGTAGGTACAGTATGTATGTATGTGTGTATGTGTACAAACAGACACACACACAGGCATACACATACATGTATATGTACATATGTATATATATATATATATATATACACTTTCGCACTTTCCGCGTAGCAGAGTTCGATGCTCGGCTGTCGCTACTGGAGGACAGGCGTGTAGCCCGGCTACGCTGTGTATTTAACACATCCTCCCCCACACCAAAAGTTCGGTAACCCCAGAGAGCAACTCGGGCCCTCGGCACTAATGCCCTTGAGCAGGGCCGGTCACAGGACGTGCAGTATAAGTAAGGATATAGACATCAGAAGAGAAAGAGTCGATAGTAGAGTCATCAACACAAGTAGCCTTAACAGCATCATCAGTCAACCAGAAACTGGAATTGTACCAATCATAGAGTAGTGTCCTATAGTGACCGTGAGTTGGGGCTTCGCCCAAATGCAGCACCACTGAGTTGAGGTGCAGATGCACACTACGACAATGCAGGCCTCGTTCAAACACCGGAAAATGAATCTCAGCACTCGGAATAACCCTATAGCGACGCTTCAGAGGCCTTCCCGATTGGCTGTCGTAGTGAAAACGGCTAACCTGCAAAATGATTGCCTGCGGAGGCGGCCAAGCAGCAAAAACCTCATCTTGATTGTGCCACACTTGCACAAGATCCTGAACCGTATAAGCGTCCCCACTATCAAGACCAACATCACAAGGAGGCACAAGAGTTAAGGGAATAGAGTATCCAAGATCCTGAATAAGGTGATTGCCCGCCGCAGCCGCAGATCTGGCTTGCCAGGAAAGTGCTACTTTATCAAAATTGAAGAACGGACACTTGGTCAGAAAGGCGAGGAACTCCGCCACATCGTGTTGTCGGGTAGGTTGTGCCCACCCTTTCATCATGGAAAGCCACTCCCCTTGCTCCCACAGGTGGAAGATTTGTCCTGCAGATTGAAGGATGGCGCCAACCACTCGTGCAGCATCCCCACTGAAGAGTGATTGTCCCTCCATGCTGCAATCAAGATAAAGCAGGCTCATCATCAGCGCATTCGCATAGCAGAAGCAATGCTTATTCCCCAGCTGGACACTCTTCACTGTGTCAATGTGGAGAGGCGTTTTGCCAAAGCACTCATCTGTAGGCGCTCGTGCCTCAGGAAACATCCTCCTGAGGCCCAAACCGCTGACCGCTCCAGTAGGTGTAGCATCCGCCACGTTGACTGGGCAGCTTCGGTCCGCATCCCCACCTCCAGGAACATGGTGATCACCGGTGACTGATATTCCGCCGCCAATTGGCGGGTGGCATGGAACCGCTGGATGACAAGCTGTTGGGGGGCACACGTCAGGAGTTCGTCCAATGCCTCCTCGATCTCCACGACATCCATGCTCGCGATGGTCTCGTCCTGGACATGTGCCTGCTGCGTGGTATCCCACTTGAGGCCGTGGACTTTCCGGCCGCAGCTGGATACCCATCCCAGGCTCTCGGCCTTGGATCGTGAGGAGGGTGTCCGCATCATCGCCTGGAACCGTTCCTTGATTGTCTGGACGAAGTGCTGGTATAGCGTGACCCGCATGGGATGTCGCAGGGCAGTGGGATTGTCCCGCTTGGTGTCGTGCCACGTCTTGCCGATCTGGTACATCGACTGGGCCAGGTTGTCCGGCACCTGAGTCTGGACAAACACCATGAACCCGGTGTCCTGCCTCTGGATGTTCTGCTGCACCTCCTGGCGGATCACGAGGGTGGAGACCATATTCAGGACATTCTTGATCTCCTGGAGCTCCGCCCGCGACAACTCCATCTTGTCCCCGTCCGTCTGCCACCAGCGGTTGCCCGATGACGCCTGAGGATTGCCGTTTTTTTTCCAGGAGCTGTTGGAGCGTGAGGCTGGGCCGAACTGGGAGTTCCTGCCCTTTCCTTTTTGGCCGCCCTTTTGGCCGCCCTTTTGGTCGGGCTTGTGCCACTTGGGCTGACGTCCCTCCGGCTTGTCCCGCCGGCTGGGCATGTCCTTGTCCTCCGGGTCGGTCTCCATGTGCCACTCCATTGGCCTTCGCTCCTGAGACCCCTGAGGCCCCATTGCCCCCATCCCTGCTTGCTGGCTCACAAGGTTTCGTAGAAGGCTCAGCTCGTGGGTGGCTGCCGTCAGTTCCGAGGGGATGGCCTGCTCGGGCCGCATCAGCATGTTGTCGAACATGGCAGTGCAAAGCCTCCGGTCGGACGTCCGAGATGGCGAGTGACTTGCCTCTGGCCAGTCTGCGGTGCAAGTAGACACCATTAAACACTCCAATGCAAGCCCTCAGATGTGCATCCTTTCTACGAAACGATTGTCCACAGAATTGACATGGATTGGACAAGCTGAGCTTACTGGCAACGATTTCCTTGATGCAGCTCTCAACGATCTCCTGGTACTCCGGGTGCCGTTGTTTCATATGTCTGCGCACATACTGTGGAGAGGTGCTCCAGTGGTGGCATTCTAAGCAATGGTGGTGTTTGCTTTGCACACAAGGAAGTAGGGCCAACTCTTGCCAAGTACAGTCCACCGACTTAGCAAGCACCACTGGTGACGCGATCAAGGCCTCCGTGATCTCTGGCAAGACACTAGCATGAGCCTCTGGGTTTTGGGACAAGGCTCTGAGGGCAGCACAGCTCTTAGAGTTGATGTGATAATGGAAGGCATGCCACGTGCTGAAGGCATGCAGGCAATGCTTGCATTTAGGCATTCCGTCAAGGGCATGTGCCATTTCCGCGCCCTTAATGGACTCCTTGACTTCCGCAGACCTATCCAGTTGTTGCTGTTGACTAAGATGCGTTAGAAACACATGCCGGCGGAGAGCAGCTTGAGTGGCAAACTCCTGTCCACAATCGTCACACTTGAAGATCTCGGAGAGTACTTCCTGAACCTCTTCAAGTCGGGCCGCGGGGGTAGTAGTTGGGGCGGAGGCAATTGTGTCAGGTAGTGCCCACTCATTCCGTCCATCAAAGAGATGCCCTCTCACAATGGTCCGCCACTGCAGTTGACCTGGGCCAGGGGCCAGGACCGGGGAGAGGGTTTCATCCAGGGTCACACGCTGCATAAGGGCGTTCTGAAGCCGCTGCACTGGGTCCGGGAGACGGAGTCGCCGAATGAAGGCCTGGTTGGTCTCCTTTGTCAGCATGCTGTGAGATTTGGCAATAGCTCGGGCCTGCTTGATGAGCTGTGTCTGTAGAGTTTGGAGCTCCTTCTGAGGGAGGCCCGTGCAGTCCAGGGCGTGGAAGAGAGCCGGCCATACGCATCCCTGCCAAAGTTGCAGACGAAGTCGTAGGGGCACTCCACGGTTGCGAAGTATCACCCCCAGCCTGGAAAAGGTGCATCTTGCCAAAGATAATCTGTGCTTGAAGGTGTCCTGTTCAAAGTGTCGAAAGCCGACCACCGCACCCAAGTACACATGCTTAGGCACAATCTTGAGGTACAGAGTTTGATCAGCAATGACAAAACGGAAGCACTTGCCTTGGGGCCGCTCGACGGTATATCGGGCCAAAGCTCTGGCGGCTTGGGCACCCTGCAGCTCCAGAATTACTACAGTTTTATCCTGACTGATGAGCATACCAGCATTGAGGAGGCAGGCCAGGACATGTTTCATTCCAGCATAGGCAACCTCGAGGTCTTTGCCTTCGCGAATGGTCCATCGGTAGTGCTGGTCGTCTGCGTAGCTTGTATTTGTCTCATGGACATTCAAGAGCTGAGGGTCATGCATCCGCTTAAGCAGCCAACCCGAAAAGATAGCCCACAACGTGGGCGACAAGCTGCAACCTTGTCGCAGCCCTCTTTTAAGGGAGACCGTTTGCTTTAACCCACAGTGTTGCAGGGCCAATTTCGCTGAGTGGTGAACCAGCATGATGAGCTGTATAAGTGGTTCCGGGATGGCGGCATCGATCAGGGCCAGCCTCAGCAAGGGCCATTGGACCAGATCATATGCCGACGTCAGATCTAAGGACAATTGACATCCGCCGTAAAGGCTCAGGCTGGTCCGGCCCGAACGCTTGTTGTGAATGTTGCGGGTGTTGCCTTGCACAAGTCCTCTGACCTGAGCACAGTGTCCAAGTACTCGTTCGAGTGCTTGTTGTAAGGTACGTCCCTCCACATAGGCGAACTGTGGAAGTGAAGCAAGGTATGCCTTGGCAGGCTCCTTGAGTCGCTGTGCCACAATCGAGGCCAGGATCTTGGCCTCAGGAGCCAAAAGCGAAATTGGTCGAAGGTGGGCAGGAGACTTCAATGGTTTGCCTGGTTTAGGCAATAGCACCAGTTCACATAGGGTCCAGGCTTCGGGGAGGTTGCTGACGCCAGGCCGGAGGTGCCATGCAAATTGTCGTTGCAACAATGGAACCAGGTCCTGCCGAAAACGTTTCCACAATGCAGCCGGAGCATTGCAGGACGGCATGGCCTTACCAGGTTGCAGGCGGCACAGGGCATTGTCAATCTCCACTCCTTCAATGCACAGATCTGCTGACAGCCGGGGAGGTTCCATATCTGCAGCATGGTACAGTGACGTGAAGTGCTGGACAATCTGTCGGAATTCAGCCTCGTGGGTCTGTAAGCCACCATCTTCTCGGCGGAGTTGGATCCTGCGTTTTGGTGTCTTTGGGGCAAACCGTTTGGCAGCTTGATGGATGTTGGTGGCTTGGACAGCCTCGGCCACCTTCTCCGTTTTCTTGTGACGGCAGGCTTTCCGGAGGGCACGGGTGTGTGCCTGTAGGCGGGCGGCACATGCCCAGACTTGGAAGCTGTGTCGCAGGGAGGGTCCTGCTCTGCTCCAGGTATGTAGCAGTCGGCCCGCCTGTCGAAGAGCAGCCCGTTGTGTCCATAATGTGTGGACCTGTACTGTCAGGGTATCGGGAGCACACGGTTGAGCTGGTCGGTGGGCCTCCTTGTGGGATGGCTGGTTGGCGACAGCGCGCTGCCACCCTGCAAGGATCAAAGCATCAAAGTTCCAATCTTCCACCCCTTTCTGAGTCTCGTCGCGGAGAGCCTGATGTAGGTCAAGCTGCAGGTTGTGCACAAAGTGGGGCTGTTTCAGAGCTGCCTGAACCAGGCGCGGGGCTAGCCGATGTTGTCGGGGCCCAGTGGATGGTCGCCTGGGAGCTGGGATTGAGACCCGAACTGGTAGGTGTCGACAGCCTGTGTTTGGGACAAACTCAGCAAGGAATGGTTGGGCTTTCTTGGCAATGGGGTCCGGCGTAGTGCCACGAACAAGGATGTAGTCAATCTGGGATCCCTGCTGAGGTGTGGCATTCGGCGGGACATATGTCCTGGCCAAGAGGCCCGAAGCAGACCAGGTATTAAGAGCACAGCAACGATGGGCACGTACCAGTTCTTGGAAGGTGTCCTGATCTGGATGTCCTCCATGTGTGGTAACCACACCCTGTCCGCAAAGAACTGGTTCCGGGAGTAGTGAGCAATTAAAATCACCGGCAAGGAGGCAGGTGCATCGTTGAGGGATGGACTCGATCCACCTAGCAATGCGGTGCCACACGTGGCGACGTTGTCGCAACATCTCTTCCTGCCGGTTTTTCCCATTGAGCTCTGCTTTCCCAGGGTTCCAAGCCCATTGATAAACGCAAAGGACATCTAGTGGTACAGAAAAGAGGATCCGTACGTGCAACAGCCGGCCTGGTTCCACCACGTGGTAGCGGATGTGGTCTGAAGAAATGAGATCCTCACGAACTAGGCATAAGATACCATCGTGTCCGCGCCCGGCACTGTGAATGGCATGCCACCTGAGCGGTTTGGAGCCTTCCAGTGTCGCCACGTACTCAGAGTCCATGGGCCATCCAGTTTCCTGAACGACACAGATGTCATACACACGTCCAGCTTGGTTCTCATTTTGGAGCCAGACCAGAAGTTCTTTGTATCTGATGCTGTTAAGCCCCCCACTGTTCCAGCTGAGAAGTCGAAGTCTGGGGGCCTGTCGGACAGGTAGACCGTCATTGGCGGTACGTCGTGTGTGTTGTTGCAGCGATCCTGATTTGGGAACCGAGGTCCCAGGAAGGTATCCTCGGAGTTGTTCCGCAGAAAGCTGCTTGCCTCTGTACCAAGTGGTGCGAGTAGCACTAAGCTCGACACGTGCAAGTGCACGGCGAAAAGCCCGTTTCCGAATGGGTGTGGGGCCACTGGGTGATGGCCGGGATGAGTGACGAGATGCACTCGAATGCTTCGCCCTGGCATGGGCTGGTGATACAAGGAGTGAGGCTTCAGAACCCCTGCGGTGCTCAGCGGGTTCAACCCTCGCATCTGAAGTGGCATGTGTGAGCGTAAACAAGTGAAGAAGAACAAGGCCCCAAAGGATCCAAGTGTGCAACTTCATGCCACTTCCCTGGGACTTGGGACCCAGGCGGCTCGCGTTATTCGATGGTGCTGGGCGTGGTCGTAGGTGTAGCCGGTGGTGCCTGTGGGAGTCATCGCATGCGGCAGCTTTAAGACACGTCTGTGGGGGACAGGTAGTGTCATCGCCGAGGGCAAGGCCATCGTAGACACCCTGGGTGACCAGGAAGAAGTGTACGAAGATCCGACCGAGCCTCAGGACGGGAGATGCCACTATCATTGTCACACACAATGTGGTACGGAGTAAGGCCGCCCGCCATGTACACAAGGATGAGCGCATTCGGTACCTGGCCGGTGTTGAGGTAGCACAGCTCACATACTGCTGGGATGGGTGTCCAACTGGCATTGACACATAGGCGCTCTGCACGGACTTTTTGATCATCTGGTGAGTGCCGTGCACAAGTGTAGTGACATATGCAGCGAGAGCACAGAAGCAGGGCTGGAGACTCCGAGGCCGGAGGCCCATGGCCAAAATCGCACACAAACTATGGTTGAGTGCATGCCTGCCCTCTGACACACCTAGGCGCGGCCTACTCAGTCTGATCTCTGGGGCGCCTGAGCACCAGCTGGGGTTTGGGCAGGATGTTGAAAAGTGAATCTGAACATGCGGTGTCAACAGCCATTGGGACAAGTGAGGTCGGGACTTGCGATTGGCTTTGGGCTTCGGCGTCGGGCTCTGCATATTGTTGCTGTTGTCGCCGCCTCCCAGTCTGGAGCTCCTGGTGTTGGATCCCGTAGCTGCCGATCGCCTGGTAGAGCTCATAGTGGACCCGCTAGCCGTGCTTGGGCCTGTTGTGGTGGCTCCCGCGTCCGTCTCCTCAAGGGTATCCACGGTGCCCTCCTCCGCGGCGGCATCGCCTTCAGTCTCTCCATCATCCATATTCCACACCGCCCACGGGTGATCCTCTCCCCTAGGGGGAAGCCGGGACACATGTACTCCCAGGCATCCTCCTTCCAAGGCTCCTTGGTCCACATCGGTGAGGACAACGTCCATCTGGAAGCCCACTTCGCTGAGCGTCTGGATGATGGCGCCGGAGACCCTCATGGATACTGCACCTTGGATTCGAACCCTGCTTTCGCGAGCCTCCCGGTCAGCCTGTGGCTCGTTCACAGGTATTGGAGGAGGGGGACCTCGTGGGGCCTCCCAAATGCGAGTCCTCATCGCCCTCCGCAGGGCTCCAGGCGTCGCCGGCCGCGGTGCCATTGGGGTCCGCCATGCCAGCCCGTCGACCTGTCGGAAGCCAATCCCAAGAACTGTGAGCCCACTTCGCGGTCAAGCGGGGAGTGATCTGAAAACGAACTGCCTGCCACATGCACAGACTGCACTGTATGATTAGCCACCATGGTAGAACATGTCTGGGGCACGAGAGGCTCCATGGGTCGGGGTGCTTCGGCAGCAGCACCTGTTGCGTAATGCGGAGTCCAAGCAGGAGCACTATTAGGCTAAGGCCAGCAGCCAACAGCAAGCTGGGGAGCCATAACAGGCAAAGCGCCTGAGTCACATCCCATGTGCGGTGCAGGCAGGCGCCATGAGCGAGTTTCCTGGCACCTCGAAGAGCCCTGTCAATCCAGCGAATCGAGTGGGCCACTTTGTCGTCGATAGACCGCCTCAAGGATTGCCAGTCCGAAAGAGCGATCAAAACGCAGGGCATCATCCAGGATACGGAGACGTCTGTCTCCTTCCAGAAGCAGCCAGCCGTCCCACCAGACCAGGAAAGGTCCGAAGTATTGCCATCTGTCACGCATGCGTTTTTGCCGTCGACGAAGCTCAGTGAGGCCCATGGTTTCCCACTGCTTGGTGAGTTGGCCCAGCACACTGTTCTCGACGAAAGTATAAAGAGAGTCAGGCAGAAGCAGGCGAGAGCCGTACGTGGGGATCTTGTTGGAGCCGTGGAGCGGCACCAAGACCATGTACTCCATAGGAGCATGCTACAAGGCCCTGAAAAGTCAAGCCCCTCAGCCCACTGATCACCAAAGATCGAGATCAGAACACCTTGTAACCCACCCGGCACCACAAACCGAACCTTCACCCCTCGGGCAGCTCCAGACCACCGAGGTGGCCTTTTGTGCTCGCAGGTCCTCGTGACCAGCATCCTAGAGCCGAGATGCTTATATATATACACAGGCATACATACATACATACATACATACATACATAACTATATATATATATACGGATATGTATAATATGTTTATATCTATATATATATATATATATATATATGTTTGTATTTGTGTTCATGAGTACATGTGTGTATGTGCGTACATTATGTGTATATATATATATAAGTGTGTATTCACAGGTTTACACACATTTATACATATATGCACGTGTATGAATACATATATACATTTATGTCTATATGTATGTATGTTTGTTTGTCCGTTCATACATGCATGCATGCGTGCCTATGTGCATACCTACCTACCTACATGCATACATACATACATACTTGGGTACGCACATACACAAAGAGACAGATACACAACAACATTCCGAATGTGAACTTGCCGTGCGGGCTCGACCAACTTGTTGAATCGTTTTTGTGGTGTTCAGATGTGATTAGGAACACGTCCGAGGCAAAGTAGCTCGACTTCCTTTGCGACTAGCACTGGTATGCGGCTTGCGCATAGCTTATTAAGGGGGCTCTTGACTTAGCACGCGAATTAGAACACGGTGTGGTGACTGGGTAATGCAATTTCGACCAACAAAGCGCAAGCTCATCCACAGGCTTCGCAAGTCCGAATCTCGAACCGCCACCCCACCCCGACTTGTTAAGCTGCCTTTTCCGAGACTTCAACCAGTGCTACTTAGAGGTGCAGGCAGAGATACCATGGGATGCCTGTGGTCTGTTGCTTACTTTCCCACTTTCGGGAAACCCCTGCCCTTCTCGGAGATTACTTCCAGCTGGCCAACATGTCCTTGTCGCCATGATCCTGTTCTAGCGTTATCCCGCAGGCTGCAGTGCGCTGTGCGGCGGCGCTGCCGGCGACGGTCGGGGCGGAGCTGTTTGGCTGCCACCCGCGGGAGGACGTGTCGCTGCTTTTGAGATCTGTTTGTTGGTTCAGGGTCTCGACAGCGTATGTACCACGCCGAGGTCAACACGGCGTCCCAAAGCATCCCGACCCCGACCCCAGATCGTAGACACAAACAGAAACCTCCAAAGCATCTCGTGGTCTTTGTGGCTCTGAGCTTCTCTTAAGCAGGACAGGGCGCTGGACGCACTGCACAGCTCCCAGCTCCTTTCTTTGCTAAGGCGCGAGGGTGCGGTTTCGAGTCAGAGCTGAATTTGGGCGAGGAGGACTCCCAGGAACTGAAATCGTACCACTGTGCATGCAAGAGAGGACCAAGACATGACCAAGACTAGTCTAGCTGCTGGCATCGAATCCGTAGGAGTTCTCGTCGAAGCTGAAGTGGAAGCGAGCCGGAATAACGAAGCCTTGGAGCTCGATCAGTCTGCATCCTCGGAGACATGTCTGGCCTCCTCGTTTCCAGGTCCCTTCAGTCTGACGTCCAGCAGGCCGCGATGCCTGGCTCTGAAGCTTCGTGATTGTTTGGCATCGTGGACTCTGCTAGTGAACGCTATGCATCTCCCTAGGTACTGACACAGACAGGGTGACAGGATTGTTCCAATATGCTACACTTACTGCGTCAGCAAGATGATCACATGACGAGACAGTCAAGTTCATCAGCACGATTTTTGCATACATATACATACATACATATATATATATATATATACATGTCTATTATAGCCGAACTGATGTTAAGCCTGACGACGTACCAGTCAGTCTGAACACACACACACACACACCAAGCCCTCTCTCGCTCTCCACATATATATATATATGTATGTATGTATGTATGTACGCATGTATGTACATCTGCATGCATGCATGTACGTGTGCAATCATATGCACACATACGTATATGTAAATACATACATATATATATATATATATACATATGTATGTATGTATACACACACACCTTTAGGTGCAGATATGTGTGTACATACGTATACATGTATTTATTTGCTTTTTTGGTTGTAAAGAATAATGAATTAAGAGCTCTTCTTGAGCATGCAGCCATGTGTCTTTGTATACATTTGCCTACACAGACAAACACATGCCAATCCAGAGGTTTCACTGCAAACCTGCACAGAACCACAGACCCAGCCAGATTTCTGTGTATGTGCATGTATACATGTCGTGTGCATTATACATACGTACGTCCGTACATACAATCATACATAAATACATACATAGATGCACAGGCATATATATATATATATATATATATATGTGTATATATAAATATATATATGTACATATGGAGGGAGATAGACAGACAGATAGGTAGGTACATGTAGCATTGACAAGTGTGCACATGCACAGAGGATTTGAATCACAGTTGAGGCGACTTGAAACATGCAAGCACCATCTTGCTGTCGTAAACATTCAGGCTGCATGATCAGCCTGCAGCAGGTTTCAACACCAAGGTAGCATGTGTACCAACTGACGTGTTCTTTGCATACAGAAACCGCAAGCGAAATCTGCTGTGACGCGATAGCATATCACAGTCCGAACCCAGAAGGTGGGAACATGGAGTTAGGATGATCAGTGCTGGGATTCCCTCCGTTGTACGATAAGGGCATGAGAATAATGATGTTCTAACTTTCCGGCTTCTACTTCAGACAACCGCCACAGCACAAGCAATACAGCAGTCGCAGATAGGACCGTATGAGTATTAGTATTAGTACTGGTCTTTGGTAGTAGTATTGGTGTTAGTGTTGGGGTTGGCGTTAGTACTAGTGTTAGTGCCAGTACACGTATGAGTATTAGTATTGGTATTGGTATTGGTATTGGTATTAGTATTAGTATTAGTATTAGTATCAGTATCAGTATCAGTATTAGCATTAGCATTAGTATTAGTATTAGTATTAGTATCAGCAGCAGCAGCAGCAGCAGCCGAAGACGCAGGAGCAGGAGCAAGGGCAGCAGCAGCGGCAGTCGTGGTGAGGGTGGTGATGGCGGTGGTGGCAGCGTTTGCAGCAGCAGTGGAAACAGCGGAAGCAGCAGCAGGTGCTGTTGTTGTTGTTGTTCATCAGTAGCAGTGGCGGCACTAGCAGTTGTTCTTATAGTCAGGCTGCAAGGCGTGAGGATTGTTTCTGTGTTATTTGGTAAAGCGAAAGTTTCCACAGCATGGGCGTAGCTGTGAGCTGTAGCAGCTACCACGCCGGCCATTCAACCCATCCACATCACAGGGCCCAGGCCTGTTTCTTTTCCGACTACTGCATCCCTTTGTATGAATTTCCCCACAGAGGGGGCAATGCAAAGCAGGCAAAATTTCTCCCAACTAAGCCTCTCGGCCGTAGACTTCCTTTACCTGCCAGCTGCTGGACACCGTCAAAACCAAAACAAGAACTGCTAGACAGACATTTTGCCGAAGATGCCAGGCCACAAGCACAAGCGATGTGCAGCGTGTGTACAAAGTGGAGGCCGGTTCGTTGCGGTGTTGCCTTCATCAGTTTGGGTGGTCTCACATGTGCGAATCTAGGATGTAAATGCAGCGCCAAGAGGTCGTAGTCCGCACTGCCCACTGCGCACTGGCCAGAGTCAGAAGTAGCTTGTGCATGTGCTTTGTGGCCAGTGAGATGTTCCATGGAGCCTTGCTTGGGTGAAAGCTGTACGGCTGTGTCAGCTGACAGTCAATCGAGGTCAGGGGCTACAAGGGATCGTTTCCTCTTGGCCAGGAGTTTCTGCAGGAACAACTTCCACGACTACCGCCGGACTTGGATCAGGAATCTCGCTCCAGTAAACGCAGGCAGCAGGTAGTGAGGCAATGAAAGCGAAATGCCATCTCAAGTTGTAGTAGGATTCAGACTCTACGGACATGATTTTTGTCCACTCTGCGAAAGATTCAGCCTGGATTCCCGGTCACTGGATTGAGCCAGCAACACTCTTCCATCCTATCATGAGCTTTGTGTCCAGTTCTATACCAAATCACAAAATTCGGTAGATCTCAGCCAGTCGTGCAAAATGGTGCTATTACCGGCAAGATGCTTTTGTCGTTGTTTTGTTCATCTAGGGAGGACCGTCTATGAGCCTTGTGCAACCTGAACCTTTATCCGAGCGCACATCGCACTTTACCGCCTACGCCCTGAGCTTGTAGTTGCCCTACCTGGACCCCAAAAGTATGTAGAATAATAGCCTTTTATAGGTTTTGGGCCATTATTTTACCTACTTTTGTGGGTCTAGGTAAAACTTGTCTCGTCTGCCAAGACCCTGTGGAGCCCATTGCCAACGCCTCACCAGCGGAGCGGATCGCACCGAGGGGCCTTGCTCGCTGACCTTTGGACTGCACCACGCCATTGCACTAGAACTAATGCTCAGCAGGGTACTCCCTGCTTATTCTCATGGCATCGCGGTCAGATTCACAAACCGACTCACTCCATCACAGCTTCGTTTCTGACCCCTGACAGACATCATCTCGACCGGCATCATCACCACCACTTCCGGCGCCACCTGCGCCACCGCCACCGCCACCGCCACCACCGCTGCCAGCACTGCACCATCATCCCCACCCCTTCCTTGCAATCATCATCGTCGTGCCCTGCCCTCCCTCAGTCAGTTCATCATCATTGCATAGCATCGGGTTATGAACATCATCACCATCATCATCATCACCACTGCCATCATAGCCATCATCAACATCGCCATCCTCATCATCCTCGTCATCATCAGTTTTCCGCCATCAGCGCCACCACCTACCACAGCTGGGGCTGCTGCACCTGGTGCCTCAGCAGGGTGCGGAGTCCACACTTCGAGGACACACTTGTTCTGCCAAATTGATGCATGGATGCTTGACACACCCAAGAAACACACGTCTCACTCATTGATTGCGTGTGAGCTAGGTTCAAATCAGTAGCTCCCTTTAACACCGGACATGCCGGATCTTGCTGAGGAGCGTGCTGTGGCTGCCCGTACCAAGGAGGACGCATGCAACAGCACCGGTAAGGAAGAAGTGTCCATAACCTGAGAGGTGATGTAGGAACTCGTCGCCGAGATGCTGGTCCATGCATGGCACAGAAAGCTGGGATCAGATGTCCTGCTTTTTGGGAAAGTATTCTGATCCGCTTGCTCGAGACATGTCAGGCTGCCCATAGAGCCCTCCCGTTCCCATCAATGCCCCATGCAGCGCCTGCCTGAGGAGCTTCTTCGCTCCAAGAGCAAAGTCCGCGGCGACCCGCCAGTGGCTCGCACGATACGCCAGGCACTTTGCTTCGGCTGCTAAGCGACTTCGATATGTACAAGACTGTAGGGTCCCCATGCGCATGGGAGGTAACGAATCACTGAGCATGCAGCCTCAAGCCAAGCCACCCAAGCTATGTGCAAGACCCAAGCCATCGCAGCATTCTTTCGCTGAAGAACTTGGACGACATTCCTCTGCGCAGCTGTTGCGTGCATGCAGCTGTGTCCCTCCAAGTTTATGAGCGAAGTGATCGAAGAGATGCTCAACCGCAGGAGCTCCAAAGTGTGGTGGGCTTGCTCTCCATGCTTCGCAGAGAGACTGCAGCACTGCGCGCGTTGCTGACGCCCGGCTCAGTGCAATTGGTGGACAAGGGGCAATTCGGCGTGCCAGGTTTGTGTCAGCGTCGCAATAGTTTCGAGCAGGACACATGTTTCCCAGCTGTGCAGTCGGGGCCCGGACCTGCCGCTGGTGTCGTCCAACCAGATCGGTAGTTAACATTCTGCCAATAACTCATTTGTTCGTCTGCGCGTGTCGGAGTCCGTGTTTGCCTGTGCGTCTGCATCTCAGGCTGTCTGCGTTCGTGTCTTCGTGTCTCTGTATCCCTATGTCTCTGTGTATGTACGTGTGGGTCTGGGTCAGCTGGGTGTGGCTGCGGGTGGGCAGCGGGCGAGCATTTGCAGTTTAAGGTCGCACGCGCCCGAGCTGGAATTGCCAGATTCGTTAACGTTAACACCCCAATACATGTGCGGAACTACACGAATCCTGACTGTCTGCATGCATGCATACTTTTCGCACTTTCCGCGTAGCAGAGTTCGATGCTCGGCTGTCGCTACTGGAGGACAGGCGTGTAGCCCGGCTACGCTGTGTATTTAACACATCCTCCCCCACACCAAAAGTTCGGTAACCCCAGAGAGCAACTCGGGCCCTCGGCACTAATGCCCTTGAGCAGGGCCGGTCACAGGACGTGCAGTATAAGTAAGGATATAGACATCAGAAGAGAAAGAGTCGATAGTAGAGTCATCAACACAAGTAGCCTTAACAGCATCATCAGTCAACCAGAAACTGGAATTGTACCAATCATAGAGTAGTGTCCTATAGTGACCGTGAGTTGGGGCTTCGCCCAAATGCAGCACCACTGAGTTGAGGTGCAGATGCACACTACGACAATGCAGGCCTCGTTCAAACACCGGAAAATGAATCTCAGCACTCGGAATAACCCTATAGCGACGCTTCAGAGGCCTTCCCGATTGGCTGTCGTAGTGAAAACGGCTAACCTGCAAAATGATTGCCTGCGGAGGCGGCCAAGCAGCAAAAACCTCATCTTGATTGTGCCACACTTGCACAAGATCCTGAACCGTATAAGCGTCCCCACTATCAAGACCAACATCACAAGGAGGCACAAGAGTTAAGGGAATAGAGTATCCAAGATCCTGAATAAGGTGATTGCCCGCCGCAGCCGCAGATCTGGCTTGCCAGGAAAGTGCTACTTTATCAAAATTGAAGAACGGACACTTGGTCAGAAAGGCGAGGAACTCCGCCACATCGTGTTGTCGGGTAGGTTGTGCCCACCCTTTCATCATGGAAAGCCACTCCCCTTGCTCCCACAGGTGGAAGATTTGTCCTGCAGATTGAAGGATGGCGCCAACCACTCGTGCAGCATCCCCACTGAAGAGTGATTGTCCCTCCATGCTGCAATCAAGATAAAGCAGGCTCATCATCAGCGCATTCGCATAGCAGAAGCAATGCTTATTCCCCAGCTGGACACTCTTCACTGTGTCAATGTGGAGAGGCGTTTTGCCAAAGCACTCATCTGTAGGCGCTCGTGCCTCAGGAAACATCCTCCTGAGGCCCAAACCGCTGACCGCTCCAGTAGGTGTAGCATCCGCCACGTTGACTGGGCAGCTTCGGTCCGCATCCCCACCTCCAGGAACATGGTGATCACCGGTGACTGATATTCCGCCGCCAATTGGCGGGTGGCATGGAACCGCTGGATGACAAGCTGTTGGGGGGCACACGTCAGGAGTTCGTCCAATGCCTCCTCGATCTCCACGACATCCATGCTCGCGATGGTCTCGTCCTGGACATGTGCCTGCTGCGTGGTATCCCACTTGAGGCCGTGGACTTTCCGGCCGCAGCTGGATACCCATCCCAGGCTCTCGGCCTTGGATCGTGAGGAGGGTGTCCGCATCATCGCCTGGAACCGTTCCTTGATTGTCTGGACGAAGTGCTGGTATAGCGTGACCCGCATGGGATGTCGCAGGGCAGTGGGATTGTCCCGCTTGGTGTCGTGCCACGTCTTGCCGATCTGGTACATCGACTGGGCCAGGTTGTCCGGCACCTGAGTCTGGACAAACACCATGAACCCGGTGTCCTGCCTCTGGATGTTCTGCTGCACCTCCTGGCGGATCACGAGGGTGGAGACCATATTCAGGACATTCTTGATCTCCTGGAGCTCCGCCCGCGACAACTCCATCTTGTCCCCGTCCGTCTGCCACCAGCGGTTGCCCGATGACGCCTGAGGATTGCCGTTGTTTTTCCAGGAGCTGTTGGAGCGTGAGGCTGGGCCGAACTGGGAGTTCCTGCCCTTTCCTTTTTGGCCGCCCTTTTGGCCGCCCTTTTGGTCGGGCTTGTGCCACTTGGGCTGACGTCCCTCCGGCTTGTCCCGCCGGCTGGGCATGTCCTTGTCCTCCGGGTCGGTCTCCATGTGCCACTCCATTGGCCTTCGCTCCTGAGACCCCTGAGGCCCCATTGCCCCCATCCCTGCTTGCTGGCTCACAAGGTTTCGTAGAAGGCTCAGCTCGTGGGTGGCTGCCGTCAGTTCCGAGGGGATGGCCTGCTCGGGCCGCATCAGCATGTTGTCGAACATGGCAGTGCAAAGCCTCCGGTCGGACGTCCGAGATGGCGAGTGACTTGCCTCTGGCCAGTCTGCGGTGCAAGTAGACACCATTAAACACTCCAATGCAAGCCCTCAGATGTGCATCCTTTCTACGAAACGATTGTCCACAGAATTGACATGGATTGGACAAGCTGAGCTTACTGGCAACGATTTCCTGGATGCAGCTCTCAACGATCTCCTGGTACTCCGGGTGCCGTTGTTTCATATGTCTGCGCACATACTGTGGAGAGGTGCTCCAGTGGTGGCATTCTAAGCAATGGTGGTGTTTGCTTTGCACACAAGGAAGTAGGGCCAACTCTTGCCAAGTACAGTCCACCGACTTAGCAAGCACCACTGGTGACGCGATCAAGGCCTCCGTGATCTCTGGCAAGACACTAGCATGAGCCTCTGGGTTTTGGGACAAGGCTCTGAGGGCAGCACAGCTCTTAGAGTTGATGTGATAATGGAAGGCATGCCACGTGCTGAAGGCATGCAGGCAATGCTTGCATTTAGGCATTCCGTCAAGGGCATGTGCCATTTCCGCGCCCTTAATGGACTCCTTGACTTCCGCAGACCTATCCAGTTGTTGCTGTTGACTAAGATGCGTTAGAAACACATGCCGGCGGAGAGCAGCTTGAGTGGCAAACTCCTGTCCACAATCGTCACACTTGAAGATCTCGGAGAGTACTTCCTGAACCTCTTCAAGTCGGGCCGCGGGGGTAGTAGTTGGGGCGGAGGCAATTGTGTCAGGTAGTGCCCACTCATTCCGTCCATCAAAGAGATGCCCTCTCACAATGGTCCGCCACTGCAGTTGACCTGGGCCAGGGGCCAGGACCGGGGAGAGGGTTTCATCCAGGGTCACACGCTGCATAAGGGCGTTCTGAAGCCGCTGCACTGGGTCCGGGAGACGGAGTCGCCGAATGAAGGCCTGGTTGGTCTCCTTTGTCAGCATGCTGTGAGATTTGGCAATAGCTCGGGCCTGCTTGATGAGCTGTGTCTGTAGAGTTTGGAGCTCCTTCTGAGGGAGGCCCGTGCAGTCCAGGGCGTGGAAGAGAGCCGGCCATACGCATCCCTGCCAAAGTTGCAGACGAAGTCGTAGGGGCACTCCACGGTTGCGAAGTATCACCCCCAGCCTGGAAAAGGTGCATCTTGCCAAAGATAATCTGTGCTTGAAGGTGTCCTGTTCAAAGTGTCGAAAGCCGACCACCGCACCCAAGTACACATGCTTAGGCACAATCTTGAGGTACAGAGTTTGATCAGCAATGACAAAACGGAAGCACTTGCCTTGGGGCCGCTCGACGGTATATCGGGCCAAAGCTCTGGCGGCTTGGGCACCCTGCAGCTCCAGAATTACTACAGTTTTATCCTGACTGATGAGCATACCAGCATTGAGGAGGCAGGCCAGGACATGTTTCATTCCAGCATAGGCAACCTCGAGGTCTTTGCCTTCGCGAATGGTCCATCGGTAGTGCTGGTCGTCTGCGTAGCTTGTATTTGTCTCATGGACATTCAAGAGCTGAGGGTCATGCATCCGCTTAAGCAGCCAACCCGAAAAGATAGCCCACAACGTGGGCGACAAGCTGCAACCTTGTCGCAGCCCTCTTTTAAGGGAGACCGTTTGCTTTAACCCACAGTGTTGCAGGGCCAATTTCGCTGAGTGGTGAACCAGCATGATGAGCTGTATAAGTGGTTCCGGGATGGCGGCATCGATCAGGGCCAGCCTCAGCAAGGGCCATTGGACCAGATCATATGCCGACGTCAGATCTAAGGACAATTGACATCCGCCGTAAAGGCTCAGGCTGGTCCGGCCCGAACGCTTGTTGTGAATGTTGCGGGTGTTGCCTTGCACAAGTCCTCTGACCTGAGCACAGTGTCCAAGTACTCGTTCGAGTGCTTGTTGTAAGGTACGTCCCTCCACATAGGCGAACTGTGGAAGTGAAGCAAGGTATGCCTTGGCAGGCTCCTTGAGTCGCTGTGCCACAATCGAGGCCAGGATCTTGGCCTCAGGAGCCAAAAGCGAAATTGGTCGAAGGTGGGCAGGAGACTTCAATGGTTTGCCTGGTTTAGGCAATAGCACCAGTTCACATAGGGTCCAGGCTTCGGGGAGGTTGCTGACGCCAGGCCGGAGGTGCCATGCAAATTGTCGTTGCAACAATGGAACCAGGTCCTGCCGAAAACGTTTCCACAATGCAGCCGGAGCATTGCAGGACGGCATGGCCTTACCAGGTTGCAGGCGGCACAGGGCATTGTCAATCTCCACTCCTTCAATGCACAGATCTGCTGACAGCCGGGGAGGTTCCATATCTGCAGCATGGTACAGTGACGTGAAGTGCTGGACAATCTGTCGGAATTCAGCCTCGTGGGTCTGTAAGCCACCATCTTCTCGGCGGAGTTGGATCCTGCGTTTTGGTGTCTTTGGGGCAAACCGTTTGGCAGCTTGATGGATGTTGGTGGCTTGGACAGCCTCGGCCACCTTCTCCGTTTTCTTGTGACGGCAGGCTTTCCGGAGGGCACGGGTGTGTGCCTGTAGGCGGGCGGCACATGCCCAGACTTGGAAGCTGTGTCGCAGGGAGGGTCCTGCTCTGCTCCAGGTATGTAGCAGTCGGCCCGCCTGTCGAAGAGCAGCCCGTTGTGTCCATAATGTGTGGACCTGTACTGTCAGGGTATCGGGAGCACACGGTTGAGCTGGTCGGTGGGCCTCCTTGTGGGATGGCTGGTTGGCGACAGCGCGCTGCCACCCTGCAAGGATCAAAGCATCAAAGTTCCAATCTTCCACCCCTTTCTGAGTCTCGTCGCGGAGAGCCTGATGTAGGTCAAGCTGCAGGTTGTGCACAAAGTGGGGCTGTTTCAGAGCTGCCTGAACCAGGCGCGGGGCTAGCCGATGTTGTCGGGGCCCAGTGGATGGTCGCCTGGGAGCTGGGATTGAGACCCGAACTGGTAGGTGTCGACAGCCTGTGTTTGGGACAAACTCAGCAAGGAATGGTTGGGCTTTCTTGGCAATGGGGTCCGGCGTAGTGCCACGAACAAGGATGTAGTCAATCTGGGATCCCTGCTGAGGTGTGGCATTCGGCGGGACATATGTCCTGGCCAAGAGGCCCGAAGCAGACCAGGTATTAAGAGCACAGCAACGATGGGCACGTACCAGTTCTTGGAAGGTGTCCTGATCTGGATGTCCTCCATGTGTGGTAACCACACCCTGTCCGCAAAGAACTGGTTCCGGGAGTAGTGAGCAATTAAAATCACCGGCAAGGAGGCAGGTGCATCGTTGAGGGATGGACTCGATCCACCTAGCAATGCGGTGCCACACGTGGCGACGTTGTCGCAACATCTCTTCCTGCCGGTTTTTCCCATTGAGCTCTGCTTTCCCAGGGTTCCAAGCCCATTGATAAACGCAAAGGACATCTAGTGGTACAGAAAAGAGGATCCGTACGTGCAACAGCCGGCCTGGTTCCACCACGTGGTAGCGGATGTGGTCTGAAGAAATGAGATCCTCACGAACTAGGCATAAGATACCATCGTGTCCGCGCCCGGCACTGTGAATGGCATGCCACCTGAGCGGTTTGGAGCCTTCCAGTGTCGCCACGTACTCAGAGTCCATGGGCCATCCAGTTTCCTGAACGACACAGATGTCATACACACGTCCAGCTTGGTTCTCATTTTGGAGCCAGACCAGAAGTTCTTTGTATCTGATGCTGTTAAGCCCCCCACTGTTCCAGCTGAGAAGTCGAAGTCTGGGGGCCTGTCGGACAGGTAGACCGTCATTGGCGGTACGTCGTGTGTGTTGTTGCAGCGATCCTGATTTGGGAACCGAGGTCCCAGGAAGGTATCCTCGGAGTTGTTCCGCAGAAAGCTGCTTGCCTCTGTACCAAGTGGTGCGAGTAGCACTAAGCTCGACACGTGCAAGTGCACGGCGAAAAGCCCGTTTCCGAATGGGTGTGGGGCCACTGGGTGATGGCCGGGATGAGTGACGAGATGCACTCGAATGCTTCGCCCTGGCATGGGCTGGTGATACAAGGAGTGAGGCTTCAGAACCCCTGCGGTGCTCAGCGGGTTCAACCCTCGCATCTGAAGTGGCATGTGTGAGCGTAAACAAGTGAAGAAGAACAAGGCCCCAAAGGATCCAAGTGTGCAACTTCATGCCACTTCCCTGGGACTTGGGACCCAGGCGGCTCGCGTTATTCGATGGTGCTGGGCGTGGTCGTAGGTGTAGCCGGTGGTGCCTGTGGGAGTCATCGCATGCGGCAGCTTTAAGACACGTCTGTGGGGGACAGGTAGTGTCATCGCCGAGGGCAAGGCCATCGTAGACACCCTGGGTGACCAGGAAGAAGTGTACGAAGATCCGACCGAGCCTCAGGACGGGAGATGCCACTATCATTGTCACACACAATGTGGTACGGAGTAAGGCCGCCCGCCATGTACACAAGGATGAGCGCATTCGGTACCTGGCCGGTGTTGAGGTAGCACAGCTCACATACTGCTGGGATGGGTGTCCAACTGGCATTGACACATAGGCGCTCTGCACGGACTTTTTGATCATCTGGTGAGTGCCGTGCACAAGTGTAGTGACATATGCAGCGAGAGCACAGAAGCAGGGCTGGAGACTCCGAGGCCGGAGGCCCATGGCCAAAATCGCACACAAACTATGGTTGAGTGCATGCCTGCCCTCTGACACACCTAGGCGCGGCCTACTCAGTCTGATCTCTGGGGCGCCTGAGCACCAGCTGGGGTTTGGGCAGGATGTTGAAAAGTGAATCTGAACATGCGGTGTCAACAGCCATTGGGACAAGTGAGGTCGGGACTTGCGATTGGCTTTGGGCTTCGGCGTCGGGCTCTGCATATTGTTGCTGTTGTCGCCGCCTCCCAGTCTGGAGCTCCTGGTGTTGGATCCCGTAGCTGCCGATCGCCTGGTAGAGCTCATAGTGGACCCGCTAGCCGTGCTTGGGCCTGTTGTGGTGGCTCCCGCGTCCGTCTCCTCAAGGGTATCCACGGTGCCCTCCTCCGCGGCGGCATCGCCTTCAGTCTCTCCATCATCCATATTCCACACCGCCCACGGGTGATCCTCTCCCCTAGGGGGAAGCCGGGACACATGTACTCCCAGGCATCCTCCTTCCAAGGCTCCTTGGTCCACATCGGTGAGGACAAGGTCCATCTGGAAGCCCACTTCGCTGAGCGTCTGGATGATGGCGCCGGAGACCCTCATGGATACTGCACCTTGGATTCGAACCCTGCTTTCGCGAGCCTCCCGGTCAGCCTGTGGCTCGTTCACAGGTATTGGAGGAGGGGGACCTCGTGGGGCCTCCCAAATGCGAGGCCGAGTCGAGTGACTCTCCTCATCGCCCTCCGCAGGGCTCCAGGCGTCGCCGGCCGCGGTGCCATTGGGGTCCGCCATGCCAGCCCGTCGACCTGTCGGAAGCCAATCCCAAGAACTGTGAGCCCACTTCGCGGTCAAGCGGGGAGTGATCTGAAAACGAACTGCCTGCCACATGCACAGACTGCACTGTATGATTAGCCACCATGGTAGAACATGTCTGGGGCACGAGAGGCTCCATGGGTCGGGGTGCTTCGGCAGCAGCACCTGTTGCGTAATGCGGAGTCCAAGCAGGAGCACTATTAGGCTAAGGCCAGCAGCCAACAGCAAGCTGGGGAGCCATAACAGGCAAAGCGCCTGAGTCACATCCCATGTGCGGTGCAGGCAGGCGCCATGAGCGAGTTTCCTGGCACCTCGAAGAGCCCTGTCAATCCAGCGAATCGAGTGGGCCACTTTGTCGTCGATAGACCGCCTCAAGGATTGCCAGTCCGAAAGAGCGATCAAAACGCAGGGCATCATCCAGGATACGGAGACGTCTGTCTCCTTCCAGAAGCAGCCAGCCGTCCCACCAGACCAGGAAAGGTCCGAAGTATTGCCATCTGTCACGCATGCGTTTTTGCCGTCGACGAAGCTCAGTGAGGCCCATGGTTTCCCACTGCTTGGTGAGTTGGCCCAGCACACTGTTCTCGACGAAAGTATAAAGAGAGTCAGGCAGAAGCAGGCGAGAGCCGTACGTGGGGATCTTGTTGGAGCCGTGGAGCGGCACCAAGACCATGTACTCCATAGGAGCATGCTACAAGGCCCTGAAAAGTCAAGCCCCTCAGCCCACTGATCACCAAAGATCGAGATCAGAACACCTTGTAACCCACCCGGCACCACAAACCGAACCTTCACCCCTCGGGCAGCTCCAGACCACCGAGGTGGCCTTTTGTGCTCGCAGGTCCTCGTGACCAGCATCCTAGAGCCGAGATGCTTATGCATGCATACATGCGTACATGCATACATGGATACGTGGATCCCTGGATTCGTGGGTCTTTGGATCCATGTATGCACGCATGCACACATGTGCACGCACACATATATAAATCTAAGTGAATAAATACATAGATAGTATATATATATATACATGCACACATACACACATGCGTCGGTATGTTCACATATAGACGTATAGCCGTCTGTGTTTATGGATTTAGTTATTTCTACAACATCGAATACCAGTCGCACAAACATTAATACTTGCAATAAAGAGGCAGGTGCCTGTTGTATTTAAGAAGTTGCTCGCAGCACAAAATATTCTCTTTCAACAGACATTTCTCGGCGTTTTGGCTTGGCTCGATTTTCATCCGAACCGATGACTTCTGCTGGATCCTAATCTAATCCTTGCCGGAAGTCTAGCCGCCTTCAACTTCACAAAACTAGGAAACATGAGCCCTGACACCAAGGACCGGGCATATGGAGCTGGATGCCAACCTTCTGGAGGCTCGAAACTGAGAGCGATTAACAGTCATAATACCAGTACTTGTAGTAGTCATGATGACAGACATGGTGAGAGCAACCTGCAACAACATTGACCTCTACAGCAGCCGGATTATAACGATGTATAACTGCTCCGACATCTGCAATGGCAAGAACGTGATGGTGATGAGGGATCTCCATCGAGGTTTCTTGCGGAAACATGTATGTGTTGTAGCCCCTTGTCTTCCACAGGCCAAGGGTTAAGAGCTAGAGGAAGGTGGAACTGTATTTTGCAAAGCAGCTCTGGTGTCGCGGTCCTGGTGCAGTCAACCCGCCTGATGTCATGATTCGGAGGGTGTCCTTAGACATTTGTACCCGGACCTCAGCAGACTGTTCAAGGAAACTGCAAACAAGTACATCAGCAAATAGTACAGTTTTTTATTATTACTACTACTACTACTACTGCTACTACGACGACGACGACTACTACTACTACTGCTACTGCTACTGCTACTGCTACCACTGTAACTACCACCACCACAACTGCCACTACTACTGCTACGACCGCTGCTGCTGCTGCTGCTGCTACTACTACTACTACTACTGCAACTACCACCACCACAACTGCCACTACTACTGCTACGACCGCTGCTACTAGTACTAGTACTAGTACTAGTACTAGTACTAGTACTAGTACTAGTACTAGTACTACTACTAGTACTAGTACTAGTACTAGTACTAGTACTAGTACTAGTACTAGTACTAGTACCAGTACTACTACTAGTACTACTACTACTACTACTACTACTACTACTACTACTACTACTACTACTACTACTACTACTACTACTACTGATACTGATACTGATATAGATACTGATACTGATACTACTACTACTACTACTACTACTACTACTACTACTACTCCTGCTGCTGCTGCTACTACTACTACTACTACGACTGCTGTGACTACTCCTACTCCTACTGCGACTTCTACTCCTGCTCCTGCTCCTCCTGCTGCTGCTGATCCTGCTCCTGGTGCTGATCCTGCAGCTACCCTTGCTCCTGCCTCCTACTCTTACTACGACGCCGACTACGACTACGACTACCGCTACTACTGCTCCTGCTCCGGCTCCCGCCTGTCATGCGACTGCCAATGCTAGTGCTACCGCCACAGCTATGGCCACTGCTACTACGTCTAACAATAACATTAGTAATACGAGTTTCCGTTCCTGTAGCAGGCCACGGTGACCCCTCACCACCCGATCCCAACAGCAATTGCTGGAGAAATCGCAATCAAGCCCTGAAGAGTCAGACTAACATGCCCTGAGTATTCTCGAGGTCTTGGATGGCATCCTCGGGAACTACCTTCCAAGCGCCTGGCGTCGAGCCTCCTTCCCCTGCGGCAAGCCTGGGCCCAGGGCGTTTGAGGGCAGTTGAGAGGCGAGTAACTTATGTCTCAGCTGGTGACAGCTAGTGTGTCATGGCCTGGCCGACAGCGAGACAGCGAGAGAATGCGAATACATGGCACTCCTACGTGTAGGTGCATAATTCGGTGATTGGTATATATACACAACTGCCGGTGATACACACTGCACTAAGAGATTGCGGGCATGCAACAGACAGGCATACATCATCATACATCTACGTCGCTCTGAGACGTATATACATGACTCGTGACTTTGATTCGACGTTGCCATGGCTCTTGTGAGCGTTAGAAAAAGTGGAAGTTGTGCCAAAATCAAGCTTCAATGGATCTGCCAACCAGACGTGCAAGTGGTTACCGATAGAAGAAGAATCGATCTGGCAGTACCTGGCCAGGGGCCTCAACACGTTGAGTCCTCATCGAACCTTGCCAGGACTGTATTTGCAGAAATCATGGCTACGGATGTGTTCCAGACAAGGGGCTTCCAAAAAAAAACAACAAGCAAGATGACGCGGAGGTACACAACACAATAACCTCGCAGAGCAACAGCACCAGAGCTCACAAAATGATGATCGACATGTTACGAGCCGTAATCCTGAGCTTTAATGTGGGATTTCCAAGCTCCAACATTAAGCCTGAACTGCGAGAATTGCGAAGAACCAGCCTTGCACTCCTTAACATCAGGCATCAAGTCCAGAGAACGAGACGATGGCCTTTGCACTGACAAGTACCAACACCCCAAACGCCCAAGTCCTCATCCCTAAATGCAGAAGGCATAAGCCATTCAACCCAGCAGCCTTAAACCTTTAGATCGCCGGTGTTCAGGCCTTTACTCGGATGGGCATTTGATGTTCGGTCACGCCTGCAGCAGCTTGGCTTGCTTTGGAAAGTTACACTGGAATTCTTCCCTTCTGTTTGTCTTGGCCCGTGGGGATACTTATCGATACTTATGCAGGCGCAAGTCTATGCCCATGGAGTGGCACCCCACCACTCCGGATGGACCTCCAACTGCTCAGACGATTCGAGGGGAGGAAGGCTTTGAGTTCAACATGTACTAGTAGGTATGTTGTTCTAAAGCAGAACACCCTTGCCATTGTACCGCTCTCAGCCAGCTGCCAGACTCCCCCGCCCCAGAGAGTCTTTAAAGCAACGCAGCTCCAACTCATGTCATGACAGCGCCAGACCAGACAAACCTCTGAAATCTTGCTCATTGTCAACATATGCCAGCTGCCACACCATCTAAAGGAGTGGGCCTGGAGGGCCTGGAGGAGTTTGAATACTTACCGGTGTTCCTATGGCCGTTCATTTCTGATACTCGGCTCTTCCGATAAGAAGCTAACAACGAGCTCTACAGTCAGGAGGGGGTGCGCCTTCACTACAGGTTCACAATTTTTGGACCTGGACCCAAATTCCCCACACCAAACGCCCTTAAGCCGCAAAACCAAGTTCAGCAGGTGGATGCAAACTGCCTGGGAGAGACTTTGTTCCGGCTCTGAGCCGTGCCTCGGCTCGATGCGAAGGGGAACAGATGCTGCGGCTGCGGCAAACGTTTTCAGGTTTTTTTTCAACGTATGATACTTCAAGGCTGTATAGTAATGATTCAATTCGCATGACAGCATATGATATAAATTACAGAATTACATCTTCGTCTTAGTAAATAAATGAATACATATACACATATATACACACATGAATTTTACATAGATATAATATGATACAGCATAATATGGTATAACATAGTATAATATAAATATAACTTAATAAAACTTAATTAATATACATATATGTGTGTATATCTATATGTATATATGTATGTATGTATGCATGTTCGTATGTATATAAACGTACATACATACATACATACATACATACATACATACGCACGCACCTTCAATGTGTGTGAGAGGGAGATCTACTTGATAGATACATATGAGTCCTGAAGATAAGTGTCTGTGTATGTATGTGTGTGTATATTATATATATATATATATATATATATATATATATATATATATATATTCGCACACATATGTGTGCATGTCTCTGTATTTAACTGCACGTGATATCTGTATAATAGCATATCAATTTTCATCCTATGAGAGCGGGAAAGGACAGGATCTCGATGCATCAAGCAGGGTTGTTTCAAGTCTTGTCGTGAGATGCAGCAGTTTCTGCGACTGTTCCGGAATCAAAGCGCCAGCTCGTGCTAGGCTGGAAGCCCTTCAAGACACTTCATAGTAGGTTCTAGTAATGTATTTTTGTGTATTGCATGCATGTTATTACGAGTGCGGATGGTGAGCAGTGCTTCGTCGAATAGGTTGCCAGAATGAGCGTCCCAGGTTCTGCTTTCGCCTCGACCTGCTTTGGCGTCCGCGAGCATTGCTGTCGCTCTCCTCGATTCAGTACTTTGTGTAATTGCAACGGTTGTCGTGCTTGGTTCTATCATGTAAAAGGCTGAAGCATGCGCTTGGCGGTTGGCCGTCTGGAGTGATTCTGACTACTACGGATACCGAAACCCTAGGATCAGGACTTGGCCAAGTCAGACGCCTGTGGAAGTACGGTAGATAGCGGCGGATAGCAATCAGCGGTAAAGTGTATTGCTAGGATTACTTCTCTCGTGTGTGTGTGCCTCGTGTAACTCGTGAATGAGCCGCAAGGCATCGAAAGCATTCCCAACCTCTCGCCTAATTTGCTAGGCATTCACTGTCGTGAAGCCAAAACATCGACTGAAGGAACTAGATCCCACTAGCCCTGAGTCGGCACTGGAGACGGTTCTGCAAGGCTGGCCACACTTCGAGCAGCAGCTCGGGTGCAGGAGCTTCCGTTGGAGGCCGAGTTGTGGGGGACTTCGAATGTACCGTGCCGGCTTCGGGATTCAGAGCTATGAGTTGAAGCTGAAT